ATTGTATATATGGACCACATCTTCTTTTTTTTTTAAGATTTTATTTATTTATTTGAGAGAGAGAGAATGAGAGATAGAGAGCACGAGAGGGAAGAGGGTCAGAGGGAGAAGCAGACACCCCGCCGAGCAGGGAGCCCGATGCGGGACTCGATCCCGGGACTCCAGGATCATGACCTGAGCCGAAGGCAGTCGCTTAACCAACTGAGCCACCCAGGCGCCCCACATCTTCTTTTTTTTAATAAAGATTTTATTTATTTGACACAGAGACAGAGAGATCACAAGTAGGCTAAGAGGCAGGCAGAGGGAGAGGGAGAAGCAGACTCCCCACTGAGCAAAGAGCCCGATGTGGGGCTCAATCCCAGGACCCTGGGATCATGACCTGAGCTGAAGGCAGATGCTTAACCGACTGAGCCACCCAGGTGCCCCTGTACCACATCTTCTTTATCCATTCATCTGTTGAAAAACATCTCAGCTCGTTCCACAGTTTGGCTATTGTGGACATCGCTGATATGAACATTGGGGTGCATGTGCCCCTTCTTTTTACTACATCTGTATCTTTGGGGTAAATACCTAGTAGTGCAATTGCTGAATACTTTAAGGTATTTTCCTTGTCTTTGATTTTCAGGAGTTTAACTATAATATGAATAGGTGTGATTCTCTAAAATTTATCTTGTTTCAGATTTGAAGGACTTATATGTGGCTTCATGTTTTGCAAAGTTCAGAAAATTCTCAACCATTATTTCTTCAGATATTACTTCTGTCTCATTCATTCTCTCCTCTCTTCTTAAATTTCTTTTTTCCTCTTTTCCTAAATTTCAAGTACACATATGTTAAACCTACTCTCTGTATTCTCTGTCTCTTACCCATTCTTAATTTTTTCATTCTTTTGTTACTCTGGGGTTTATTCTAGATCATTTCTTTCAACCTACCTTCTTGTTGAATAATTTTCTTTTCGTCTATATGTACTTTGTTGTTAAATCCATCTATTCAGGTTTTTTTCCCACTTGGTCATGGAGCCCAACGCAGGGCTTGAACTCATGACCCTGAGATTAAGACCTGAGATGAGATCAAGGATTGGATGCTTAACGGACTGAGCCATCCAGGTGCCCCCCATCTATTCAGTTCTTAATTAAGATTTTTTAATTTTTCATTTCTAGAATTTCTGTTCTATACTTTTTTATAGTTCTCATTTATCTGCAGAAATCCTCTATATCTCCTTAAACATACTAAGCATATTTATTTAAAATCTATGTCTGAAAACTCTAATATCTGAGGCCCCAATGAGTCTTTCTCTATTGTCTATCATTTCTGATGATTCCTGTTAATTTTGTCTTGTTTTCTTGTGTACATGGTTGTTTTCTATTTTGTGTCATATACTGTATTTTATAAAACTTCAGAAATAATTTGAGGATGACACTGTTTCCCTCCAAAGAAAATTTATATTTGTGCTGCTAGGCATCTAGGAGCATTAGAACTCTGGGATTACCTTATTCTACTTTCCAGTGATTGAGATTATTAAAAATTAAACTGATATCCTTGTGACAGTCTGTCTACCTCTTGTTATTCTGACTCTGAGGTGCAGCTTTTTCAGCATCATGATCTGAAAGACATTGAACTTCATCAGGTACATTTTTTGGCAAGATTTTGATCTTGATCTTGATCAATATCTGAACTTTGATCTTGATCAATATCTGTCTTCCTAGCCTCCATAGGCCATCCAAAATTCTGCATAACCTCTCAGCAGTCCCCTCAATAACTGTATATGCTCCATTGGGAAAAGTGGCCTAACATTAAGCTCAACTTCCCCCAATCCTGTTCTGAGCCAGTTAGTCTTAACTATCTTGTTAGCCCTCTAGTGCCCTCAGGGAAGTTAAAAACTATGTTTGGTCCTGTTTACCCAGATTAGCAGAAGGCTTGGTTTCATTCACTCATCTCCCATTTTTGTAATTCACCATTAAGGACTTTTGGTAAATTTTTGTTAAAGTATACCATATATACAACAAAGTGTACAAATCCTAAGTGTTCATCTCAATAAATTTTCATGAAATGAGCAAGAAACAAAACATTAACAGCATAGTGGAAGGTTCCTCCATCCCCCTACCTAGTCAATAATGCATCCCAAGGGTAACCACTATTCAGATTTCTAACACCATAAATTAATTTTGTGTGTGTTCTTTAAACTTTATGTAAATACAATCACATGGTACATATTCTTTTGTATTTTTTTGTTAACATAGTCTGTGAGATTAGTCCATATTGTTGCAGGTATGATATTCATTGCCATTTATGAATATAAACTCCATTTGTGAATATACTATATTTTATTTATCCATTCTACTGTTGATGGATATTTAGAATGTTTCCAGTTTGGGGTATTATGAATAGTGTTACTATAAACATCCTTATATGTGTCTTTTGGTGAACATATGCATGCATTTCTGTTGTGTGTAAGATCATCAGTTGTGCATATTTTTGGACTGAAGCCAAAATTAAGATTTGGAGCCTGGAGTGTAGCAAACTAAGCAAGGTAAATGCTGCCTTCTGTGGGCCTGTCTGGAAAGCCAGATGACCTTGCTCAAGAGGCAGATTTGTTCATCTCCTTGTCCCATTGACCTTAACAGTTGGTGCTGCAGCTAGAATGTGTTTTGTCTTAAATCCTATCCTCAGAAATAACATTTTAGCAAAAGCTACTGCAGAAAACTCCCTAAACACATAAAATCATGCACTTTTTTAAATCTAGTATTTCCAAGACACAGGAGCAGAAACATTAAATAAATATTTAAAATTTCCCTTTCATGCCTTATTTCATGAAATCTGCTTTCTCCTGGATTCAAGAGAGAAGATGGATATTAGTGGCTGAGCAGAGGGGGAGTGAAGAGATGGGCTATTGCCCCCAGGATTCTAGAAGACAAAAAGTATAAAGAGAAATAGTTGCTCCATGTGAAGATAAATTCCTTCCCTGGAAATTAGAGAAGGACAAATTTTAACAAGTAGAAATTAATTTTCTATTAATTTATAAAATTAATTAAATTTTCTTTTGGCTTTTAAGAGTGGCAAATAAATGGGTGACAGGTCTGGTGTGCTAGGGGAAGGGAGACAAGTGGGCACACTCTTGAATCACTGCTGGTGGAAGGGGGAACTTGGGGACCATGGCTCATTGGTGATGTGTATCTCAGGTGACCAAGAATTGTGAAGAGGTGATCTTCTTGGTCTTGCTATCAGCTTCCTGTTGAACTTAGAGAGATGTGTTTGTATCTGAGTGAGGAAGGAAGAAAACTTCCCTGGTTGGGTGCAGGTTGGTGTGAAAGTGAGCATTACCTGGGGAGACTTGGGGTCAGGGTAGGGTTGGGGGCAGAGACATGAAGGGGTAGAGTCAGATTTCCCTACACCTCCAGGCTACCCACCAGCTCATTTTAGTTCTCTAAATGATGAATGGGGTCAGGGGAAGAGTTGTTGCTGGGAAACAGGAGTGAAAGGTGAGAATCATTTGACAGAGTCCTGAATCAGTGAAGGGTAAGAATTGTGGTTTATGGGGCGCCTGGGTGGCTTAGTCGTTAAGCATCTGCCTTCGGCTCAGGTCATGATCCCGGGGTCCTGGGATCGAGCTCCACATCGGGCTCCCTGCTCCGCCGGAAGCCTGCTTCTCCCTCTCCCACTCCCCCTGCTTGTGTTCCTTCTCTCACTGTGTCTCTCTGTCAAATAAATAAATAAAATCTTAAAAAAAAAGAATTGTGGTTTATCACCCAGACCTTAAATCTTCAACGACGATCTTTTGGTTTCCTTGTTTGTCTGTAGGGGGCGGCACAACTCAAGGGAAAGGAAGAGAAACAGTATATGATATTTAGTAGAAACTGAAGTGTTTCTTCAAGGAAATGTGGGGCTTGAACTGGCCACAGGGGGGTGGTAGGAGCAAACTTGAAACCAGAGCCCACTCTGACACTCCCATCCTGTCTTCAAAAAAGAAAGAAAAAAGCAGTACTTAATCCCAATCCTTTTTGGCTCTGGGGGAAGCAGCGACAAAAATCAATGGGGCAGAATTGAGGGTAGATGGGTGTTTGAGGGGAGAAAGTGAGGTCAAGAGAGTACCTGGAGGGCAAGGAAATGGAAAAAGTAAGCATTTGGTGGTGCTGGTTGGGGGGTGATGAAAGTGTTTGGAGCACAGGGTGGAGGTTGTGCCTGAGACCTATATGGGAGAGATTTGAAAGCTAGATTTCTCACTCTGGAGAGAGGGCATTTATGTGCCAGTACATCTACCAATCCCCATTCTTTCTTGCCTACCTGTAGACATAAATTTAGGCAAGGAAGGAAGGAAATTGCTCCAAACAGTATGATATCCTGGAGATAAGGGGTAGGGATAGAGATGTCAGCGTCAGAATACAGGGTCTAGAGGCAACTTAGATTCTTCCTCTCCCAAACTTTGGTCTCCTTCCTTTTTACTTTGATGCCGGAAAAGTCAAATGTTGTACCACTGAGGAAATAGGGGAATGAGTTTAAAAGAGGTAAAAGCCAGAGAAGAAACATTTGAAAATTAAGACCCTCAGGGAAGAAAGAAATATATTGATATCCTTGTGTTCTGAGTGTTGACATGTCCATCCGATGAAACTCAGATAAAATATCTATGTATTTGCATTGCCCCTAGTCCCAGGTTGGATGGCAGTTAGTGCAATTTGTGTCCAGGAAAAGAATGTCCAGCAATCACCACAACTAGGTAGCTTTTAGAAGAGGGTGAACCTTCTGTGACCTGCGTAACTGGAGAATGTACTCAAATAGGTGCTTTAGTGAAAACAGGACTGGAGGTCAGGGGTAGAATTTACTACAGTGTTTACCTACTAATCAGAGGAGGTTGCAACCACATTAAGCTTCAGACAAGGTGAGGACAGTTAAGGGTTCTGAACTTTAGTCAAAGATCTAAAAAAGAACACACACACACACACACACACACACACACACACACACAGATCTAAGAAAAGCAAAGTCCATAGTATGAGGCTGAATGAACCATGAGCAGTAAGAACACAGGGACTCCCAAAGAGGACACTGTCCTAATAATAAAAGAAAATCACCCTTTCCCCAAATAAAATCACATTTTTTTGTGATGCTTAAGGTATTACAACTTTGAGGTGTGTACTTGACCTCTCTAAGTGTCCTTTCATTCAGGGAAAAATGTGGTTTGCTCAGCCCAAGGATGCTGGTTTTTCATTTAGCCATGGTATCAATCGTCATTCGACCAGCCTCTGCGTTGTTGGAAGCACGATCCCCACTCCCGACCCCGCTATTAAGGAGAAGGCTTTCTGTGCTCTGGATAACTTAAATGCAAGGGTTGAAAACCAGGGCCAGATTAAGATGTCCATCAGTGGAGTGTGTCGGGAGACTGTGTCACATTGCTGCAACTCATTTCTGCAGCGGGCCGGATTCAATTTGTTAATAAGCATGACAGTTATTAATCACATGCTTGCCGAGTCCGTTTCAGACTTGAAGTTCCCTTTGATATCCGAGGGAAGTGGATGTGCCAAGGTTCAGGTTTTGAAACTGTCGATGGGTTTGTCTGAAAAGCCAGTCTTGGCAGGGGAATCGCTGGGTGCCCAAACGCTGCTCTCATTCGTGTCCCTCTTGATCAGGAACGGAAACACACAGGCTCTCCCCGACACCCTGGCCTCTTAGATGGCCGCCTCGAGCGGAGCGGAACGGAACGGGACGGAATCCACCCAAAAGCCTGCTGGTGAACACACCCTCGTGTTCTCATTCAAAGAGTCTGCAGTGGGTGCTGTTGGAGATCCAGCCTTAGCCAGTCACCGCATCACGGGGTGCAAGTTACACTTGCTACGTGGAGGACCACACTCTTCTGGGCCAGGCAGGGGTCCCCCCAGAGCTCGGAGTAACTTCTTGGTTTTGCAGTCTGCAGGCCGTGTGCGCTGTCGGTTACTCCCTTGCGGCCTTCCTCCTGCGGCAAAGGGATCCTTTCAGCCGCCAGCCGTGGCTACGGAACATCCTCTAAGAGCATGGCGAGGGAGGCCTTGCCCGTGGCGGTCTCCCTGTCCAAGCCGGGCCGCTTTGTGGAGACCAGACACGTGTCGGGGCTCGTGCTGGAAACGCATCTGTTGCCGCTTAGGTCGAATTCTTTCCCATTTACTCCTTCTTCTATGCGAGCTGATGGACGGAGAACCTGTGCGTCCACGAAGGACACGCCCCTTGTCTGTGCTGTGCTGACTTAACCTCATCCACCCAGGCCTACGTTTGTATGTATCATCAATAAAGTTGTGCGCTTTGATTGGCGAAAACGAGACGTGGAACTTGTCCCTGAGTTTACAGTCTGCATGCAGAGGAAGACGGAAGTAGGAGACCAACGCTGACTCCCTGGGGCTATGCTCCCTGACAGGGGCGCGCTTGTGGGCGCTCACAGGAGGCGGGGGCGGAGGTGGGCGGGAGTGCTCAGGATCAGCCTAGAGAAGGGGCTGGGGGCCAGGGGCGGAAGCCAGGGAGCAGAGGTGGGGCTGGTGGCATCAGGACTGCAGGACACAGCACCCGGGAAGCCGGCGGCACAGTGCCTGGCACCTGGAGCAGGGAAATCCCTCGAGGAAGGGGTTTCTCCTGGACTGCTAGCCTGGGCAGGAAGGGCAGTATCCTTGGGGTCTGCCTACACATCCCCGGGGACCACCTGGCAACCCATCGCCGGGCATTCAGTGCCCAAGTCTAGCAACGATGGCTGCCGCTCGCTGTGTGGCCCCTTGGTGTCCTTCTCTCTCTCTCTCTCTCCTGTGAAGCGGCTGTTAAACCCACTTCTGGGCCCACTCCCTTCCTTGGGAGCCCAAACCCCAATTCCTGGCAGAGGAAGAAAGGTTGGCCCCCACTTCCTTCGGAGGAACCTCCTTTTGGCCCTCTCCCCGGTCCCTTCGGTGACCTCCGAGAAGGGGCCCGTGGAGCCCTCCGTGAACTCCCGGTCAGGGTGGTAGGGCAGACGCTGGGGTGCCTGGCAGGGCTATGGCCGGTCCATCGGGAGAGACGTCTCCGTCACCCCCATCCAAGCTCCCGGCCCCCCTGGGAGGAAAGGAGGAACCCAGCCCTGTGCACGGAACCACTCCGTGGACCTGGAGGACTCAGGCAGCCTCCCCGCTGAGCGCTGCCAGAGCCCTCCCAGCAGCCCTTGGCCCCTGCATCACCAAAGCCAGCTTCCCTGAGTGGTTGTGACGTGTCAAGCGATGGTCCTCTTCCCCTAAGCCCTGGCCCACAACACAGGCCACAAGAAGCTTCCCTTGGGCAGGGCTGCCTCTGTGCCTGGTGCCCTCTCCTGGTCTCCCTGGGATGCTGCTCCGGGCCACGGTGCCCTGGGCATCAGCACTCTGCCTTCTGCATGCTCTCCTCCACACACACCATAGTCGTATTTGTTCCTCCCTCCTCCCGGGCTTTGGGTGGCAGGTGGATTACAACTCTTCAGCTTGTACCCGACCCCTCACCCTTCGGGCTGACTAGCAGGTACGGGAGCTGGCCGGGTCCCAGGACCATCTCTGGGGAATCTTCCAACCTGCAACGGGGACACCGCCTCTCCCCAGGCACTGGCACCTTGGATGGCCAGCATGTGACTTGTGGTTACTGTGACAACACACCCCCAGCAGGGCTCACACACACACACACACACACACACACACACACACACAGCACCCCCGCCCCCCCACCCCCGGGGGCTTCCTCTGCTGGCTGCAGGGCCCTGTCATGTTTCCTAAGAGTTGCTAATGTGACCAACACTTTCTCCCAAGCCAGCCTCACGGGGACTGGGCAATGTTTCCCAAGTAGGGGTGCCCTGCAGACAGCTCCCACACCCACTTGTCCCAGGGGAGCCTGTTTGGCCAATGCTGTCTTCAGCGACACCCCTTCACGCTCAGCTTCCTGAAGCACAGCACAAAGTCAGAAGATCTCCTTCCTCCTGGCTCGGGGTCCCAAATTAACAGGCACCTCCCCACTCCTCTGCGCTCTGCCAAATCCCCATTCGAGTGCTGCCACAGGCAGTTGTCCCCCCTCTCCAAGGCAGGCCTTTGGCCCTTTGGGGCCACAGCTGACTTCTAACACAGGGAGGACCGTGGAGACTGTCTGCTCATCTCCTGAGCAACTGTCTGTCACAGGGAAGCCCGTTGGCGTCCAAGGGTCTCCAGGGTGGGACCCTGGCCCAAGGCAAGAGCTTCCGGTGCCTCTGCTGGCACTGCCCTCCCCCAAACACTCCCCCCGTGTCGTGTAGCTCAGGCCCCTGGTCTGCCCTTTATGCCTTGGTTGCTTGCTGTGCCAGGCAGGAGCCCTAGGGGCGGCGGAGGGGGTTCGGGAGCATGCCTGCCAGTCAGGGCCCAATGGAGACATTCAGAGGCTGTCAGCCCCAGGAAGACTGTGGTGCACCGCTCCCACACACACACCTAATCCAGAATGGAACGGCGTGGGGCCACCAACACTGAACGTGCCCACCTGCCTGGTACAGTGAACAGATTCTTTCTGGGCTTCCCCGTGGTAAATGTTCGACAAGGGCATCAAAGCTGCAGCTTGTCACACTCCATGGGGAAGTGCCCCGCCTTGAGGGGGCCCACCCCAGCCTAGCCTGCCTCTTGGGTAAATCTGGGGGGCCCGTCCCCGTGGACTGCCTTCCAGCTCCACAAAAGGCCTGGTCTTGCTTCTTACGCATCTCCTGAGGACGTCCACTTTGGGTACCTGTAGGTACCGGCTGCACACCAACTCCCGGTGCCCTCCCCAGCTTGCTACCTCTCCTGGGGGTCTTGGGATTTGCCCTCCCCGCTCCCCGCCCCCATGAAGGGCACACACAGGAGGTTGCACACACCCGGCTTCCAGGCCCATACAGCCAGTCTCAGACTCTGCCTCCTCACCGGGACCCCATGCGCCGGTCTCAAAGCCGTTTCCACCACCAACCCCTCCCTTTGAAGTGCCACCCACGGACAGGCACGGCCCTCACCAGGTCAATCTCTCAGCTGCCACAGCGCCATTCCGCTTCGAGTTTGACAACTGTGGCCAGGGCTGGCCCCAGGCTCCCTTAAGGGCCCCCCCACCCCCAGTTGTTCTAAGATGCAGATGGGCGCCTCACCACAGTCCAGCACAGTCCCGCAGAGGGTTGGCCAATTCCTTGTCTGCTACACATGCCGCAGGCGTCACCTCACACTCTGTCACTTGCCTCCTCTCTTTGCTCAGGGCCTCCAGTTCCCCCTGAGGGCAGGCTCCTTCTCCCTTAGAGCCTCTTGTTTCTATGTGTGGCTTAGGCTGCCCTCCCTCATGCCCTGATTACAGAGAGAGTCTCCTGTATGGTTTCCTAATTCCTTCACACTCTTCCCCTGAAAGGGTTGTCTCACAGATCTCCTTGGAGTTTACCTTTGTGCAAGGTGGGAAGGGTGACCCAACTTCACTTCTTTCCCCCAGCGGGGAACAGGGTAACCCAGCACCACTTATCACTCCGTTCTCCTGCTGCAGTGTGGCACATCTGGGAACCTCATGCACCCTGCGGAGCATCCCCTCTGTGGCTCCCTGGTGTCAAGTCTCCCCGGGACACACCTTTCTCCCAGGAAGCTCTAACTGACTCGGGGACCCTCAGCTCACTGGGGGGCCCTATGGCAAGGGGTGTGTGTGTTAGCAGGGAGGTGGGTGTTGGTGCTTGTGAGCAGGCCTCTGCCCCAGGTTCCTTCTCAGGACATATTCTGGCCCAGAGGAAACTTAGGAACGCTGTCCCCTGACTTACTTTAACAACATGGGAAAGTGGGGACTGGTTTCTTCCCTCACCAAAGTAAGTTGATTTGTGTGAGAGTAGAGCAAGTTCATTTTCTATGTATAGAGTTGCTCTCCTTGGCTCATCGTTGTCATTAGCTGCACTTGAAATATGGCTGTTGGCACATGTTGAACTCGTGTTGCGATCGTTTCCCTCAGCCCTTTCCTTGATTTTTTTTTTTTTTTTTTGGTGTGGTACTTTCAATCAATCTGGAATTTAAGTTTTCTGTTTTTGTCAATGTTTTCTATTGAACTTTTGTGTTTTCATTTATTTAGGACAGTCTTCACATCCCACGTTTACTAGAATACTTTTGCCTATATTTCCTTCTAATAAAAATACAATTTTCTTTTTAGAATTAGCTCCTTTTTTAACCTACTAGTGGTGTGTATGTATAATGTGTGTGTGTTCGTGTACCTTTGCTTTGATGTAGACTTTGTATCTTAATTTTCTCTAAAGGTATAATTAGTTAATACTAATGCCATTTACTACAGAACCCAATTTTCCCCCATAATTAGGCTCCAGTTTCCATGTCTAGAACAGGAACACAGATTTATATGCATTTTCTCATTTAGGGGATCCAACATGCATGTAGTCTTCAGTCACTGAGCTTTTGATTCTACTTATCAGTAATTTACAGTTAGCTTAATGTGAGAAAATGACAAACAAAGACTGATACGTAAGCCATAGTAATAAATCCCACCCAATACCATTTACTTTTTTTCCAAAATCTTAGCTCAACTCTCTCTTGTAAAAAATAAATTTCAAAACAAACATTTAATTCACTTTAATGAGGAAAATAAAGAAGATTTTATCATTTTGGAGCAATGAACATCCAACTATGGCTGAAAGGTACACCCTGAGAATTAAGTGATTTTAATGAACCCATTGAGGTTTATTAAAACTGTGTTAACCTAACATCAGGAAGGGACACAAGATACAGGCACCAATGTCCCTGTTCATTTTGCAGTGTAATTGTCCCGGGATGCTGCGTTATAAACATTCTCATCGTCTTCAATGCTTGAAGCATCTGTGGAATTGGGATTGCTCATCCCAGTTCCCACAGAAGATAGACTGTGGTGAAGACATGCATCCGGTGTGCACAAATATCTCTAATGTTAAAGCAAGATAGCTCATGACACTTCCCTGGTGGGTCCTCACTGCGCTGGTCCACATCAGTGTCTTTCTGCTTCTGGAAAACTTGTTGGAGATAATGTGGAGACACCCATCCAGTCACCAAGATGCCGCAGATGATGCATGTGCTGGTAATTAGCTTCCCGACCAAGGTGACCGAGCGGGTGTCCCCATAGTCCACAGTAGTCGAGCTGATAGTGGCCCACCACTAGCAGATAGGGATGCTGGTGAGGCTGGGCATGTGGTCGTCTTTCTCCACAGAGTAGATAAGCACAGAAAAGATGGAAATGCCCACAAACAGAAAAAGAAGGAGCAGCCCAACCTCATGGTAGCTGTGTCTCAGTGTGGCACCTAGAGACCAAAGTCCTACATAGTGCCAGGCAAACCTGAGAATTTGGAAAA